TGGCAGCGAAGTAAGCGCTGTCGTCCGCAAACAGCGACAACTTCCCGTCTGCTTCCCATTCCCGAGGGCAACCTCCGAGAGTGGAAATATCGTTAGTGTAGAGAGCGTAAAGGAGTGGTCGGTGTTAGGACGCTTCCCTGGGGAAATCCGGCTGTGACTGGGCGCACCGACGACAACTGCTTTTTTTATTGCTTAGATTGGTGGACGAGCTCACAGCCCACCTGGTGTTAAGTGGTTACTGGAGCCCATGGACATCTACAACGTAAATGCGCCACCCAACTTGAGATATAAGTTCTAAGATATCAGTATAGTTACAACGGCTGCTCCACCCTTCATACCGAAACGCATTACTGCTTCACGGCAGAAATAGGCAGAGCGGTGGTACCTCTCGCGCGGACTCACAAGAGGTCCTACCACCAGTAAAAACTAGTCTAAAAAATCCAGAAATATGTATTTTGTGTATTTAGTAGACGCAGGGCGTGTTGACAGCTTGTATGGGTACCTACACTTATTCTACTGACCATTTCTACCATGACGCTGTCGTGAGTTCCAGTTTGGAGAATGGGACAACCGCGGTGCAATATTATTGAGATATTGGCCTCTTGTGTCAGGTAGTAAAAAAATATTGTAATAATAATAATAAACGCAGCAGTACAGGTATACTTCAAAATTATCTTCTTCTTCTTCTGGTCGTTTCCTCAATGCTGAGGATCGTGACTATGTCAATCTTCCCCACTCGGTCCGGTTCTGCGCCATATGTACCGCTCCCTGTATCTGGCCTCCAGACACCTCCTTGAGTTGGTCCACTCATCTAGCTGGCGCTCTTCCTCTAGCGCGCTGCCCCTCAATTTGTCCGAGAATGATGAGCTTCTCCAGGCTGTTCAATGGGGATCGCATTATGTGCCCAAAGAAACTCCGGATCCTTTTCTGGCACGTAGTCAGTAGGCGCTTGGTGACCTTCAGCTCTTCGAGGATGGAGACATTGGTTCTCATAGCTGTCCAAGGGAATAAATTAGCAAATATTAAAACAAATGTATCGTCCCTAGTTAGTGCTGTGGCAGGAGTGACTCAAATACTCATAATCAGTTAAGAAATATCCAAGTGCGTGTTTAAATAGCAAATGAAACGTTTTCTCAGTTTTATCGTCAGCGGAACCATCTAGATGCGTTATCAAGTCCATTTGCGTTCATAAAGGACGAAAGACAAGTTATTATAACTCAGCGTCGGTTACTTGTGATCGTAGATGGATATTTGCTATTATGTATTTTGAATAATGTCCTATTGTTAGGAGCTGTGAGAAAGGAAACCTTAATAATAACCTTATTGAGATGACGGAAATCGTTGAAGTTACTTTCTTTTTTAATATTAATATTTTGAAGGATATTTTATGAGTATTGAAGCGCTAATCTCCTTTAAAGACGCTCAAATTATAATGTTCTCTAAAAAACTTAATGGAAAAACGCAACAAGACAAAAGAAATCTTAAAATACCCTGTGGATATGAACACAGTGATTCCAGGTAAAAATAATTATTTCCTAGTAGTAATCCAAACGATTGCACAGATCAACCACTCAAACTATTTTTGTTGGTTCACGGGGAAATATGATTTTTGATGATTTGAAATTAAATAACTTAACGCTTCGTGCAGCATGTATTTAAAAATATATTTCGTGTCGTAAAACGTGTTGTAAAACTAGTTTTAGATAGAGCTTGTAAATTAGATTTACTTTAATTAACAAAAAAGAGGACAGCATAATCCACATGTTATGAAAACTATAAAAGCTTAATAGAAAACACCATTGGTAATTACGTGTTACGAGAAATATTTATGTTAATCATTTGCATCATCATTTCAAATTTACATAAGAAAATTTAAATAAAATACCTGTCTTTCATATGACTAAGAGATAAACGGTACGTTATCGCCAATAGTTTCGAGGTGGCTACATCTAGCATTATGACATCGAAGGCAATGCTTATGCAGAATGTTACCCACGCAGTATTGACATGCAAGTAGGCTTAAAATAGGTTTAGCCAATTTATATTCGCCTCGTTTTATTTTAGACCATTAAAATAAAGTACATTTCATAGGTAATGTTAAGAAACATTATTTTTCGTTTTAATTCATAATAAAACCGATCTGTGTTTTAACTTATATTTCTACACGTCATCTCGGATCCTCCCGATCCACTAACGGTGCTTATAGGTACTTCAAGCACCGGTCACCGTTCTCGTCGAACCCGTCGCTTGCGACGAAGGGCTCGACGAGTAAATTAACTCTCAGACACAGCCCACTGAGTTTCTCGCCGGATCTTCTCAGGGGGTCGCGTTTCCGATTCGGTGGTAGATTCTACGAAGCACGGCTCTTGCTAGGGTTCGTGTTAGCATCGTCGTCAGGTTTGAGTCCCGTGAGCTCACCTACTAGCCACGGTTACGCTGAAATAGCCTCTCAAGGATATCAGCATATGTAGGAAAAAAAAAAACTTATATTTCTAATCATAATTGTTATTCAGCAAGATTTATAACGTTGGTTATTTAACATTAATTCTTAGATATCCATTGTTTTAATTATTCTATTATTTCGCTGGAAACTACGCATATAGTTCTGTAGACAACCCTAAGTGTATGCGATAAACAAGAGTGGTCTAAGACGGTGGGCAGCCGGTCCTCCCACCGAGTCTAGTTCCGAACAGATTTGCCAACTTTAGGTCGATTTTGATTTGTTGATTGCGTTTCGGTTTAAGCGTTGTATCGTTTTTATATTAACGTTGCGTGTTTTTATGTAATACAAAATTGTGTGAAGCAGTAATGCGTTTCGGTTTGAAGGGTGAGGCAGCCGTTGTAACTATACTGAGATCTTAGGGCTTATATCTCAAGATTGGTGGCGCATTTTACGTTGTAGATGTCTATGGGCTCCAGTAACCACTTAACACCAGATAGGCTGTGAGCTCATCAATCCATCTAGAAAAAAAAATTATGTTTTTCGTTAAGCTCCTTTTTCGATTTAAGTAATCTACACAAGTCTGTCAAGTTTTTCATTTTTAATAACTAAAAAGATCTAAGTGCTTGACGTTAACAATGATTTAGGCGGTGTGTATCTACCTTAAGACCTGTCTGACCTACCTGTTAAGTCGATTTTTTATTGTATTACGAATGGCCACATTCAAGGTTTCTATTAAATTATAATAAAAAGGTTCATTATTCAATCAGCTCGATGGCACCATGTTTCTAATGTTGTCACCAGAAATACATTTACCAACATTTATATATTAATACGTGAAGCAAAAACTATGTATCCCTTTTTACGAAAATTGCCCGGACGGAGTAGTATGAAATTTTCCACACTTATAGAGAATATTGACAAGAAGTGCACAATGCTAATATTTTTTTAAAATAATGCATAAAAGATACATTAAATCAATAAAGAAAACATTACGCACACTACATACCATGTATTTGACGCACACACGCATGCGTACTATTTATTGTCAAACTTTTGTTCTTGACGTCTGTGGTCAAATTGAGAATAGATTAAATATTGTTTGTCTTTATTAATATTTTTTTAAATACACTTTAAAAAAATATTAATAATAAACTTTGGCGAAATTTGTGATTATAGAAGTATAAAATACAATCATAATAGTGTACAAACTTACAATTCCAATTAATTATAGTCGAATTTTGACTACTGCGGGACCTCTAGTATTTATGAATGTAACACAATTCTAAATTTGAATATTGAAAGACTCTGTAACATTTATAAACATTTAAATAGGTATATACAAATGTAAGTCGAACTAATGGAAAGCGTTACGTTCTACTATACGCTAGAAAACATATTTGAAATGTTTAAAGATCTTATTTAACTTCTGAGAATTGTAATTGAAAAAAATGTCACCAGAAAATATTATCACATCTTCACTGGAACTGTGAGAGATCTGATCTTGTTCCGGATCTATGAGATTTTCTTATGATAACATTTTCCTGTTTTTAATGCGCTTAAAACATTATTAGATTTGGAGATTGGAGATTATACTCAGTTAATATGAAAACGAATAAATTTATAAACTCACCAAACATTTGTTATTATTTTAATTGATTATTAATTAATATTATTCCAATTCTACTGGCACTACATTCTCATGTTTAAATTAATACAGATTAGCAGGGGTCTCACGGCTTGTATGGTCACCAGGGCTCATAGACACCCACCTTGGGTCAAGGGGTTGATGATTCAATCGTGTGTGTCAAATTAGGCCAGAAGGTGGCACTCACAGTACATTTACATATTTGGAAAATAACAGGCCCTGTCGATTATTCTCAGTAGGTAGTGAAACAGCATTACGAATTGGTGGTAATCATGCGACTTAAAGGCGTCTGTGACTCTAGAATAAAAAAATATATATATTTAGCAGCTCGTTAACTCGATAAACAAATTTACTAGTAGATAATATTATCTAACCAATCATATACAAAATATTTTAGCTGATCAATTTATATATTCAATATAAAAACACGAACATTAAAATAAACTTGTTTACATTCCAGAAGAACTGGACAGACACATTTTGCGTAAGAAAATTATCATATATTTTTTTTTAAAAAGAACCGTTTTCTGTATCATTAAATTTTAAATAGGCATCATTCGAAATTTTAAAGAAAAAACTTTGAGAACCTATCAAAGATACGTGTTTGAAAACAAAGAAACTGCTAAATTATAATGTCATTAAATTTAAAATGTTAACAAACAAAGAAGAAGCTTATTTTCTAGAAAATAAATTTTAAGTACTATTTAAAAAATATAATCCAAATCCCCTACATTAGATAAGACAAGCGTGGTCAACCATTTCGTATGTGTAAATTCGACTAAAACTTACATCTAAATTGTGTTTATTGTTTACCCAGATTGTCAATGGTAATGTGTCACGGAGTGTTGCGTCCACGCAGTTTTCCATATATGTCCCAGTCCCCACTCTGAGCATGCGCACGGAGGTTTTCGCGCGTTCCTCACTTAGCTATAGTTGTGTTTCTGTCCTTCTTGAGGCCGCGTGCCCGATCGATTACACACCATCGATTCATCGGATGTTACTCGCGCTTTTCTGAATGAAAAGTATGTTTGAACTGTGAGGAGTTTATCGGCGGTGTCAGTGTTTCAAGTTCAGTTCTAGCGGCGTGTTTGTTTTAGTGTTTCAGTGAGGACTGTTGTTTTCAGTGCTTGTTCACTTGTTTCTCGCGGGAGGTTTGTATTTTGTTTATTTTTTTTTATTTATTCGATTGCGGCCTGTGACGATATTACTTTTGAATGTAGATCTTCTAATTTAACTCATTTTAGATGTAGGTTATGGTTTGTAGTTGGAGATTTAACAATAACATGTTTTTTTTTATAGTTTTGTTTAAATAGAATTCATTATACGTAAGTAAACAAGGCACAGTAAGTATGATGTAAGTATATGTTAATGGATATAACATTAATTGAATATTTAATTTAAACTATATATAGTTTCTTGGTAATACTTTAGTATTAATCAATGAAGGCCTTACTTGTTTTTGTTTTCTTTGAAACTATTAATTTTAAAGAAAAATATACGTTGAAATGTTTGCTTTTTTGTGACCCTCAAATTAGTACAGTATGGTAAATATTGAATATCACGATTTACGTGAAGCAACATTGTAGCGTATGACGAATAACATTGAATTATATAAATATGTTTGATAATTTAATAAATATAATACTCAGACAAGTAGGACATCTAAAAATAATAAAGCAATGTTTTATAACGTTGCTGAATTTTCATTAAGCACGTTTTTTGTTTTTTCGAACTGATTTAGTATTAAATATGCAGTGATAGGAAACAATAATTTATAACAATAAAAAATAAACAATAATAATTTAGGAATATATTTCTGCACCCGGGAATTGATTTGACTAATAGAACAGGATAATTATGTATATAAGATTATTATATTTTTGACTGACTTGGTGGTGCCGTAGTTAGCACCTCTGACAGTTGCACCGGGGGTCGTGGGTTCGATTCTCACAATTGCTTGCTCTTTGTTTGGGTGTTTAGTATCTACCTATTTAACTGCCTTACCTTTACCTTAGTTGGACTACCTGTGTTCATTAATTATGTTAACATTTTTTGGAAACATAATGTATTTCTTTAATTGGCTCATGTTTGGGAAAACATCCTCTGTACCCTGTGTCTAGTTAAATGCTGTTGAAACATTGTTGATTAAATAAATAAATAAATATATGTACATATATATTGAAACGTACAGGTGTAAGTACGTATGTTCGTCTCTGGTACCCATAACACAGGGAATCATAATTTTTGGGCCGCATGACCGTGATTAGTTCCCAGCTATTTAATAATGATTAAAAAGGAGTCAAACATAAAAATATACATGAAAAAAGTAAACGCAAACCAGTTAAGCAGCATTGTTTCTTATGTTTTTCAACTGATTTTCATTTCTTTTTTTGTTTAGTTGCTATTGACGAGCTTTAGAGTTCAATAAAAAATCGAAATGTCGTTAAGGAACGATGATTATGGGAGAAATTCGACCATAGTGTCAACCCTAGTTAGTATGCATAAAATCTATAAAGACAACAAATTACCTAAATAAATGAAATAAGCATTCCTCTTTCAACGGGCTCCAGGTAAGATTTTTTCTATGACAAAATTAACAAACTTCTGATTTTTTTGTTACTGTTTAGATGCGTGGACGACCTCACAACCCACCTGGTGTAAAGCGGTTAACGGAGCCCATAGACATCTACAACGTAAATGCCGTCAATATGAGTTCTAGGGTCTCCGTTTTTACAGTGCATGATTGTGAATGTTTTCACGAACATATTATATATTGTACTTTCCTCGACCGGAAATTGAACTAGTACTCGTGGTAGTCAGGGTGCCGAACCAGTCGACTACAAAGCAACAAATCTTGTTAAACCTGATTTTAAAATTAAGTATTCAATTAAAGACAACATAATAAATACATGAATTTTTGTTGTGACATTGAATTGCTTGAGTGTATATTTAAAAACATATCGGCAAAATGGAATACCCGGCAGAATAAAACACAGTAGTTCGCGTGTATAGTTGGGGATTTTTAAGTAGTTTCCAACAAAATTACCTATATCTGCTCCGATTCCTTAACACTGTATGTTATCCACAAGCACGATATTGCAATCGCTCATTGTGATTAAAAAAGTTAAAATCAGCAAAGTTAAAATAAGTGGTTACTGGTGGTAGGACTTCTTGTGAGTCCGTACGGGTAGGTACCACCCTATCTATTTCTGCCGTGAAGCAGTAATGCGTTTCGGTTTGAAGGGCGAGGCAGCCGTTGTAATTATACTGAAACCTTAGAACTTATATCTCAAGGTGGGTGGCGCATTTAGGTTGTAGATGTCTATGTCCCATTAACAAACAGCAACAAAAAAAAGCATTACCCCGTTATGGAGATCTTAAATCTTCGCGAACTCAAAAGACACGCTCAAATATGTATAAGTGAAGGAAATATTATGGTTGTTAGTCCTTTGAGTGCGCGTTCGCTTATCTTCATCAACACAAGGCTGTTTTGCTTTACCTTAAAACAATTATGTTTTGCAACTTACTGTCTAAAGAATCTTTATTATTTATTATTTTAGGGTACAATACTTATTTTACTCGTTATCATTTAGTCTGTTTATTGCAAAAGAAAAATCGTCTGCAAATTTTGTGCATAATTACAATTTGCTTTGCACGAATGTATCTTCTATAAGTGTTTTCGATTTGTACTTAAATAAATGTGACAATAATAATAACAAAAACCAAATAAAATGTAGTTAACCAAATGTAACCAAATAAATGATCATCGGATTGGAATCTTGTTTTCTAATTTGCATATGAGTTAGTTAATTCTGGCCATACCTTACTGTACTATTGCTATTTTACATGTGAAATTTACCAATTATTTGAAGTCATTCATGCATCATCCATCGTTACTTCGTAGTATACTGTTATGGAAAACTTCCTTGACGCAATAGCAATTGTAAATAGTTTCAACTCAAATGGATAAGCAACGTATGGACGCATAGAATACGAGCAAATATACGAATATCCGTTTTGATGATGTCACAGAGACGAAAATGATTTTCAATATAATGTCTAAATGCATGTATCGTTTAGACATTCGCCTGTCCATTAGTAGTATGAAATTAATTGGAATTTCACTTCCTAGCCAATCAATATAATTAATTACGTCGTACATCTTATAATTTTACAACTCTGTACTTTTGAGCACATACGAGTATGCGTCTCCGTCTTATTTTCTTACTTCTACCACGAAATCTCGATTATTTGATGTTTTTCTTTTCGGCTCTGGATGTTCCTGTTCTTCTTTTTATGTGTTTATAGCACAACCAGATAAAATTCTAGCACGGTACCACTAAGTATAGCACATTCTGTTATATTTTATAAGTACTGGGAGTGCGGTAGATAGAGGCAAATGGGGTCGAATGGTCCGTAATAAACTCTTGTTGCGAGGAGGTGGTCACGACCCTATTGAGGAAACCGAAGCAAGAAGAAGAAGGGAGTTAGGGTTTGTGATATCGCACGGGTTCCTTCCACCGCTGTACTATATTTTGTCGGTTGTGAAGTAATAATGAATTCTAGTGCAAAAACAGGTTTGTATTTCTTTGTAATTGATACTTCAACTACATCTGTTAAGGCGGAAAAATTCACGTTATATCTGGATCATATAGCACCTGTTGGGCCATATTTTTTTGTTGTTTTTATCATTTGCTTATCTACCGCGTGGTCGTAGTTCGTTGTTCAATAGGGTAAGGATAGCAGCTTGGCCTTTCTTAGCTGGATTATATTCATCTGAGATTCAGGCGCAGGATGTTGAGCGATCGAGGCTTTTAGTCAGCTTAGCTTCGGCATGCACCTCCCACCACCCTCCCTAAGGCCTGGCGAGTTTCCTCTTGACCCAAAAAAAAAACAACTTTAACTCTGTGGGACTACAAAGCTATAGTAATATCATTAAATGTTTTATCTAAAATTTGCTAAATTATTACGTTCTCAATTAAAAAAATTAAAACACAACAAAATGTTTCTAATTCATAAATCAACATAAAATGTAGGCGTTGCCAAAACACCAATCAAAAATCTCACGTCTTCAGCAGAGCTGTGGGTTGGGCCTCCATTACTCAATATATACATATTTTCGTAATGTATTGTAAAAAATAAAACGCTTGAAATAAGACACTTCAAGTCGAAACACAAATATTATTAAATAATCAGCAGCAATTATGTATGTCATGACTGACTTCTGTTGCTTGAATTTTTCGGCACCCATCTGAGTCCCCCAAGGTTAGTGATATAATGTCTATGGGTTATGTAAATGTCTTGCTCGTTGACGCGTGTAGGTGTCGTCGTGCCTCACATTATCATAATGCCTTCGACTCGTCGATGTGTTTATGGTAATCATTCGATGAGCGATCGCCAACAGAATAATCTAAAAAAGATCTTTGTACAAATTGTTTTTTTCCAAAAATATGGATAAACTATCAATATTTTTCCTTCATTGATTCTGGTAGACCCAAGATCATTGCGTTTATTTTAACAACTTTGTAGACATATAGTAGAGAATAGAGCCCATCTGATGTTGAGTGGTTAAGGATACAGGTAAGCAGCTGATTATTGCTGAAATTGAAATGTTTCCCTTCGTAATTATTTCTAAGCTGTACATTGTGCTGTTACGGACTGCTCGCTCTCCTGTGATAAATGTATAGTTTAATAATTTCACAGTAAGTTCAATTTTCCGGGGCAATTCAAATAATTCAATATTAAGATACTTTTGTCAACTAACTAATCACCGACAGCTCGTATTCTTACAAAACTATGACTTTTATAATTATATCAGACTGTTTTTACAGTTTTTACAGCCTTACAAAAATTTTGTTATTTGAACCTTTATTTACTTCTATATTGAAATAAGACAATAGTTAATTCAACTTAATCTAGATTCTGAGTCAGGTATTGCTGTCGACGGATATCGCGACCTAGAAGCAAAGCGTAGGCAACAAATCCGAAGCCATTGCGATATTCTGGTTGATACTATTGTCTTTACGTTGTAAGATTTTTTCATTATTGTTGTATTAAGGCAGACGAGCCTGTTGGATGTTAAGTAGTTATATTATTTCAGTAATGACACTGTCACTCATGACTTTAAAACATGCGGTCGAATTTTCATTTA